TCACTACTGTCTTTTTGTGCTTTTCAAAACATCCAGTCCTTATATAGGCTTTTATAGGTCAAAGACAAAGCATCTGTCAACTAATATTGACAAGAGAAAATTTTCAGACATGGAGGCCTAAATTTCAGGCATTACTGACGTTTACATGCCCAAGTTCCTCTGCAAATCTGATCCTAAGGTAGAGGAAGCAGCCCAGGACATGCAGTTTAGGATTAAGAGGAAAACGCATTAAGGAGAAAATACTTAAGTAACCACAGATTTCTTTTGTGGATGCATTATCTCCATCTTCTCAAGCATCACTACAGAATGACAACTGTTCTTGCACACAGTATGAAAGATATAACATGATAGCATCATTATGGATCACAGCTCAATGAACCTCTAAATTTAATTTTGTTCATAAACAGCAACCAGGAAAATTAGTAAAACTACCTCTTGAAGTACAGTTATACTGCCTTCAACTCCACACAAGCTCACTTCCACACCATCAGGGAAACAATGACTCTCCCCTGCTCCTTGCTGCTTATGTTTTTGAGAAACTTTAACAGAATAAAAAATTTATTCTATTTTCCTTTTCCCTCACGATGCATGAAAAAATTATTTCTCAACACAATCATAATGTATTTTTAATTACTCACAAAATTAGCATTTAGATAGCACCATTCACCCTAGACTTCTGTGGCACTTCTAAATTTCAATTAAATCAAGTACTTGTTTACTTTTTCCTGCTTTGAGGAATTACAGACAATTACTTAGTACTATCCTCTCTTTGTCAGGAAGGCTACTGAAGAAACTGAGGCATGCAGTAGTTAAAGACCAGAGCCCACTTATATTTGCATGAAGATCTGCAACAGTGACACTGTGGTGAATGGAGTTACACTTATCCAGAACTAGGTTGCTATGTAGCACACAGCAGAGACCTCATCACTCCAAACGGCTCAAGTACTGCTGTGGTGGAAGGAACAGCAGTAAAATCTGTATTCTGAGTCACAAACCTCTTCCCAATTCACCTGCTCATCACAAAGAACCAAATCATATTTTTAGCAAGAGCAGCCAGCAAGGGGTCAGGAAGAGATTAAATAGCTATACCAAGGTCATACAGGATATTTGAACAGAGAACATCTCTGAGCCCAGATTTCCCAATTCCCAGTATATCACTTTAATCACTCACATACCTTTAAACACCACTAACCTATAACAATCGAAATAAATCCAAAGAAAATGTTCTGCATTTTCAGAAGCAGCCCAGCATCTTAAAGCATCATGTACCTCATCAAAGGAATGTTTCAACAGAGAACACCAAGCTGATTATGCAAAAGCATGATGAGAAAGGGATTCATGTCAGGCACTACAATGGAGTTCCTTAACTCGCTTTCCTCTGCTAACCAGATCAGCTGTGCATCATACTGATGAGAAAGAAGTGTGAAGTTAGACTGAGTTGTTTCAATTCATCGGATACCCCCTGATTAAAGAACTTAAAACCATTTCTGTCTTTCCCTCCCAATCACTGCCTTTATTATACCTTTTTAGAATGTTTTCTCTTTCAGAGAAAGTTCTATTAAGCATTCATTCTAAGCATTTACTACTGGAGTCACGTGTGAAGTTATTTTCATCATGCTGCTTTCTTAAAAGAGCAAAATAAATTTGCCTGTAACATCTGTATATGAGTAAAGTGTCAATAAAGTGCAGCATAATCCTTTATTTCTTTTAAGGATTTCACAGAAAAAAGATGACCAATACCTCTGAGGATCAAGACCTGAGAAAAATCTTAAGTCTTTGGCTTACAATCCCTGCTAAAGGACTTGGGTCCAGATCAAGATGTGAAACAAAACTTGTGGTACAGTACAGAATGAAGAGGATGCAGGGGGAAAAGAAAAGGGTCATGAAATTTTACTGTCGGGTTAGCCAAAGAATAACAAACAAAATGGCTGCTCCACATTATAAAATACACTGAGGCTGACTCTCGGGTTCAGTGATGTAATAAAGCATTTCCTGTGGGTTCCCCTCTCAGAAATATAGCACGTTAACTAGACTTAACCATAAAAATACTGGTGTTTTTTCTTCAGTGCTGAAGATTAATACTGTCTTCTGAACAAAAGCATTATTCTCCTCTTTGCAGTCGTAATTTTCCCTCTCTCCCTCACCAAAGAACTTCCAAACGTTTTCATAGATTTATTTCTAATAAATGGTACTGAAACGCAGCCATCAGTTTTGCCTACTTCATTCTGGCTTGGCATGCTTACTTGCAGTGCCTATTTCTGCGAATTCTTGCAAAGTTGAAGCCATCCAACACTCCATGTTATGGCCATCAGATACCAGAAAACATAGAACAAGGACAGACTTACGCAGCTCTTCCCGGTGCCTCTCTGTCTCTGCAAAAAACTGGCGAAGCTCCTCTGTGATCTCCATGTTACTCAAGTCATATTCTATCTCCCCTTCAGACTCGGAGTCTTCTTCCATTTCTGAGTCCCTTTCAGCATCCTCCTCCATTTCAGAGTCTTCTTCCGCATCCTTCCTCCCTCCATGGGCACCTGTGCACTGCTGAGCTCCCCCACGGTACGGAGCTCTGCCGTGTGATTTATAGCGGGCAGAATAGCTTTGGGTATGTGGGAGATCATTCCCATCCCAGTCTGAGTAGCAGCTACTTGGAGAGGCTGCAGGAGGATGCCACGGTAGGCGATAAAAGGACTCCATGGCTTTCCTGTAGGCTTTCTGGTGCCTCCGCATCCAGCGCATGGCTAAGTCATAGTGCTTCCAGTACCTCGTGTACACCTTCTGAGAATACCATGGCTCGGTGTCCTCCTGTGGCCAAAACATGGGGGAGAGGGAAAGACCACAAAAAATCAACACTCCCTCTCTTTATTTTTTGAATAAAGAGCCACAAACAGAGAGAGAGAGAAAACAAATGATAATTAAGGGAGAAACACTGTAAATGCACACACAATTCTGCCTTTTAATCACCAGTCATCCTTTATCTATGATAAAACATGCAGACTTGAAAAACGGCAACACAGTGCATGTGCATTACTTCCTTCACTTCATTACTCCTACAAGAGATTGTTTTTGCATCAACACAACTACCAGTGAAGAACTAGCAATAGAGGAGTTGTAGTATCCAGAAGGCATTTTCCAAGAGTTCGTGCTACTATTGTGGGAATCGGTTCTTTTTAGGGAATGTGCTGTGTGGATATATTCCACAATTCCTTAGCCCCTCGCGTGAGTTGTAAGAACTGAATCATTCCAAGGTGTAGGTATTACAACCCACACCTGATTTCCAAATCCGCAGACAGAAAACACAGGAGATTAAAATTCCTCCATATTAAACAAAGGCATTCATTTTATCCAGTAACATATTTCCTGCCTCTGCCTGCCAAAGTTTCTCAGAAAAGGTCAAATGGCAATTCAGACAATTCATATATCCATCATGGCCTCGATCAAAAACAAGACTGTATTTGGCCAAATGCAAGCTGCCAGTAAATCTCCCTTTTGTACTCATCAGCAACCAAAACATGAAAAGAGGTAATAAAGTGTCACTGATAAAGTACGGAGAAAAGCAGTTCTATAGAATGAAACATACTGTAACACACCTTCTCCTGTCTTCCAGCAAATCTTAGTTTTCCTGAAAAAACCAGTTTTATGCTCTTCAGATTTCACCTCACCAGCAAGTACAAAGCCCCACAGTCCTTCTAGCCTTAAGCTCCCTTCATACAAGCCATTTCATCTCCCTTCTCCATCCTACTCTCAAAAAGTACAATAATAGAGGATCTTAAAAGAAGGTCATAAAGTAAACTAAACAGCAAATCTTTTTTTTTTCCTTCCCCTCACATCTTCATTTCCATAGAAAATCTTTTATCTAGGTTAAAATGGAAAGCCTGTAATTCAAATTGGAAAATTTTAATTAAGCCATGTTTTGGCAAACACTCAAAACTATGGCAAGATTAACTGAGGTTTTCAGAGATGAATGTGACATTTACAGTCCTTTATTAAGTGGGGTTTTTTTTTAAAGGGCATACGAGACAAAAATCTTTAAGTCTGTTTTCTTGATCAGTACTATTCTATAGTCTTAAAACAATATTTTTTGGGGAAAAAAATCCAAAGCAAAACAGAAAACACAAACCCAAGAAATACTTTCCATTTAATGCTAACACTATCAAGAGAGGTTAACTTAATTGACTTACATTTGTTTTCACTTTCTGGTTCTCAGGTAATAATGCAAATACTAGTGAATTTGGAATAATAATTGTAACTCCCATGCGGCCACATTTCTGCAAAATTGAGCCAATTATCCCAAAAGAGATCTATAAATGCTCTCTCTTTTTAAGGTCATTGCTAAGTGCTCTCAGAAACAAAATACCTAACAGCTAACAGAGTACATAGAGAAAATCCACCACAACAAACTTACATGCCTTAAGATATTTCTGATCAAAAATTACAACCTATTTGAGACAACTTATCTTTCCTGAAAAGTAAGAATTCATGGAGTTGAAACTTCATTGTTAGTCTCCTCTTGGTCTAACATTACACTGCTACCCCAGACTATGCAGTTTAGATTATTTATTCCCAAAATGAGTGGGTACAAGAAAAGCATCTGCCTTCCATATGGAATTTCTTCACTCTTATTCATCCAACTACCTAAAAGCTAGGATGAACTATGTTTTAATTAGTTTCCCTTTGCTTACGAATGTCACACTGACTCCTCATCCTTCAGCAGACAGATAAGAATGTCTTGTTATCAAATCTAACACATTCACAGGTTACTTTTAAAACGTTTTGTCTTTTTTTTTACCTTAAATATTAAAATACTTTAAAATCCAGTTTTGAAATACCATGAAGCTTGACAAAAGCAGGTATCTCTTACATTCTATATATCTCCAAAGAAGACAATATATTCTTTTAAAGCTCAAAAATTTTCCCCAGTTCTTTTACAATGTTTCTAAAAAGGGCATTGATGACTTTACTGAAAGCTCTGGAATCCAGCTGGTTGACTTGTCTAGCTGACTAGTTCCAGTTGTTAATTTAGGGGAAAGGAAGACAAAAAGCCAGTTCATGTAGACAGAACTGTGATCCTGGTGCTCATCCAACTACTTTTTGTGGTTTTTTTTGTTGAAAGTGACCCTTGAAAACCCCTCTTACATTTGAATTTTAAAAATACATCTGTTAAAAAGAAATTACAGAAATGTTTTGCATTGGGGTGGAAAAGGGAAAGGAACACTTTTAGTCTAACTTAGTTCTGTGTCTGTGCTTTTTCAGCTGTGGAATAAATGGAAATAAGAGATTTCCTCAAGGAAACAAAAGCTATAAATCTAAGGCAAATGATCAGAGTCCTCTGTTATTTTCCCATTATGTCTCTGGAGTCTTCCCAGGAGTAGACAAATCACTCATTGTTGTAATCTGAATTCTATTTTCAAAGCAATTTAGCTACTTTCACATCTGATTTTTACATGTCTGCATTCACAGTTCAGTAAGTGTTTATATGCATTTTGTATATAAAATATGACTAAGCTATCACATAGAAATCCATAAAGACCTCTTACCATCTCTTGTAGAGTTTGTTCTGGTGATGATCAAGTTGAACTAGAAAAGAAAACAGTAGCTTTTTAATTTGCAATACAGGTATTAAGATTGCCATAGGCACTGAATATAGTTTTGTTATGTTTGAGTACTATGGCCTACAACTATTAAACGTACCTTCTCTGTGGTGGCTAGTTGAAGTCTCTTATTTATAGATTTTGATTACATCAGTAAAAATCCCATCCCTTAAAATTACCCATTACAGTAAGGATGGTAAAAGAGAACCTTCTAAACAATGCAGCTTAAAAAAAGAACACTTTTCCTATTACCTTTTTTCTTTTCTACTTTTCTCCCACACTCCATGCTTCTACAACCTTTATTTTCCAAATTAATATCAAACAAAAATGATACACTTGAAGGAAACACACTATTCTCCCTTTTTCACGGTATCTGCACAGGGACTTGTATAAAAGAAGTAATTGACATTAAATGTTTCAACCCATCTTCACTCCACTCAACCAATAGATTTCTGTTTAAACCTGCACTTATAACTTCATACACTCCCTTATCTCACTTTTTTCTTTTCCAGCCCCTGATCCCGCCTCCCATAAAGAGATAACAAGTCAGTTCAGGTTACAGCCACCTTTTTTAAATGTGAGGAAAAGGCTAAAAGGAGAGAAGCAACTAGATGAGGGGAAAAAAAAAAAGGGAGGAAAGAGGGAGAAAACGACATCCATAACCACCAGGCAGGATTTTTAATTACCAACATTTTCACTGTGACTTACCAGTATGAATCACTGAGAAATATTCTGGATCCCCTCCCTATTTGGCAATTATTTTATTACATTAAGACATTAGCTGCTTCATCCACATATTTCTCCTGATACTCTCACCCTCAACTTGAACTTTGGTAGGTGAGTGCCAGTGAAGGGTAAAAGAAACTCAGTATATTAAACTACCTGTTGCTACCCCTAAGAAATGGTCAAATACTATTCTCAGAAACACTGGAATACAGCCAAGACAGCAATTAAAACTGCTGTAAATTCATAAGAGCATAAAACTAGGATTTTTCAAAATGATTATGAATACGGTACGTACACCAGTTGCGTTCTGCCTTATATGTAACAATACTGATTAAAGAGCAGGTTTTTGCCTCACGCAGCCACACTGTGTAAAAGGAGAATGATATGGGCTATATCCAAACAAAATGCAAATCATGCAGCAAACAAAAAGGCAAATTACTGTCCTTTCCAAAGCCCACATTAAGCTCCAACTCATAAATCCCTGGTAACACCAACCTATCTGCAAGAAGCTCTACATATATGAGCAGTCTCACTGCAATTGATGGGACAACTCATGCCAGCAAAGGCTGAAGATCCAGGTAATCTGATTCAGGCAACCAAAGCACATGAATTCACTTTATTCTCTCCTGCCTGCTTGGAAGAAGAAGGAAACCTATCACTGAGGTCACTGCAAAACATTTTGATTACTTATAACACTTGAAACCCACACATGCATAAAAGATTCCCGTGCCATCCTTCCTTGTGCATTTCAAACATCTCACTTCTAACAATAATCCTCTTCAAAACTTTTATCTCCACTCTCTCATGATGTACACATATACTTTTTGTCTCTTTCCCACACACATCTGGATGCTCTAAAGGCTGCCATAATGTCTTTTTTTGATACTTAGAAACCTAAGCCCATGTAGCCGATTCTTTCCTTTTCCATTTCAGAAAAAGTATGTGTTTAACTTTCTCGTTCACTCTAGCTCCTACATGACAAAAAATTCTTTGAAATAGCTTCAGCATAAACAGAAATCAGGTTCGAGCTTAATCTAACTACATTTTTTAAAGCAGTAAGTGAAGACTGATATTATTAATATTATTAATACACAACATGTACATATGCTTTCTGAAAAGGAAGGAGGGGGAAAACCCTGGTAAATATATCCAGCCATATTAGTTTACCAAATAGGAAAAACCTGTTTTGCCAAACACAGAAACTTTAATTATTGTCATAAATAATTTATGAAACATTAGACTACAAATATAAAGCAGAGAAAAACAATGCTGTAAGCCTGGACACTAAATTAAAGAATGAGTTTGTTTTATTTTCAGCTGAATTACTCTTCCAAAACAAACTACATAAAATAAGAAACATGACAAGCAGCAGAAAATAAATGTGATAGGTCTACTTCTATAACTTCCACTTTTAAAAATAAAATATCGAAGCAATTGAACATATGAAACTCACCAGCAAATGTAGAATTTAAAATGAGAAAGAGATTTGTTTGCCTATGCCACTCATTAATGACGGCAATTTTTTATTAATATTATTTATGACCTTTTCACATTTTTAAAGTATTTCTTCACTGATAATTAATCAGGGATTCACTCCCTTTTGTCAAAACATGCCTGTCCCCTTGCCAGCTTGAGGCAGGTGAGCATCAGTGAAAATAAACAAATCTGATCAAAGCAATGACAGCATTTAATTCCCTTGGAGTCAACAGAAATTGAGACCAAGACTGTCATATCGTGAGACACAACCATGACACACTGGGGTTTATAACTTGGTAAATAAGTCCCACTCTGGGACTAGCGGTGTGCTGGATCTAGTGCTGCCACGTGGTCTGGAGGTGACAGGGACAGCTCACAGCCCAGTGTGGGATCAGTGAGGGTTCAACTATTCCAACACTGATCAACAAAAGATTAATTAATTAACCTGTTGCAGGGTGTTATGATAACCTGGCATTAAATTCAGCAGGTTTCAAAAAGCACATTTACACAAAGCTTTCCTGAAAATTGAATCAGAAATGCCCCAAACAAGAGACAGCTGACCACCCCCTCAGCTGCTTTGAGACGTGTCTTCAGTCAGGCCAGAGCTGGCCTCAGCATCCAGCTTCTGGCAATGGTTAATAAGAGATGCTCAGTAAAACATGACACTAGAATATGCATACAGGAATTACTTTTTCATGTACATTCCTCCTAATTTCAACAAAATGTGAGCATCTTCCCATAAACACCTATTTAATTTTATACTTCTGATGCTTACTCTTGGTGCAGAATTACTACCAGAAGAGGAAATGTCTAAAAAGCAGTTTGACATCCTGTGCTTAAGATTAATACTGTGCATTGCTAGTCTATGACGTTAACTTTAATACCAAAGCGCCCTAGTTACAGGAACGGAGAAATATAAGCCTGTGATCGCTGAGACAGTTGGTAGCAAAAGTTACATCCCTTAAAAAACAAGAGGTAGAAATTCCCAACACTATACACTGCATATTTGTTTGGAAATGGTTGTAAACACAAAACTTGCCCAGCACTTACAGTACAGTTACAGCTCCTCATCCCAACAGGAGTGCTACGAAGACCCACCTATCACTATAATGTTCACATCAGTGGTGCCACATCAGGGTCCTTACAACAACAGTAGCAATTCCTGTGGACGGGATACAAATTACACATAAAGCAAAGTAATGTTTTCAGACTTTAGTGTATTTATTATGGCTCTTTTGGCCTGAGCAGAGGCTGAAACAGTGTTGTCATCGGTGGCTACCCAAAAGAGGGTCTTTATTCTCTGAGCTCCAGGACATAAACCCAAAAGCTATTTGGGCCAAAAGTCAGAGGCCAAAAGCAAAGTGCTAAAGCTGTACAATTATCAGTAGTCCCAGTAAGCTTATGTTTCATGTATGGCTGGTCAGTTTAGTCATAAATGAGGAGAAGGATGAAACTTCGCCACTACTCCTTTTGAAAGCATAGTTCATTTCCTGGCGGCACACAAGTCGTGCCCAGATTCCGGTCAGTGACTCTAAGGCTCACATGAGCGATCGGCAGCTCTCACCTCTGCAAACAGGGCAAACAATTATACCCGAGGGGTGGCAGGAGCACAGGCCTTGTGCCCCGGCCCACCCTGTGCCTTGAACCCCGGCTGCTTCCCCGGCCCCAGCGCTCTCGCCCGAGCGCCCTCACCGCCGCCTCGGGCCCGGGGCCGACGTGCTGCAGAGAAAAGGGAAAGGGAAAGGGAAAGGGAAAGGGAAAGGGAAAGGGAAAGGGAAAGGGAAAGGGAAAGGGAAAGGGAAAGAAAAGCCCCGAGCTGCCACAGCCACCGCCTGGTGCCACAGCCACCGCCGCTCCGCCCCGCTAGGCGACCGGGCTCTCACACCTCCCCACCGAGCCCTTGGCTCTCCCGCTCCTGCCGCCCCCCCTCCGCCGTCCCCGCACCCACCCGGGCAGCCTGAGGCTCTGGCAGGCGAAGGCGCCGAGCGGTGCCGCCTCCAGCGCTCGCTCCCTCCCTCCGTTCCGGCGGGGCCGAGCGGCGCTTCCCCCGCCGCTTCCGCCCGGCCGCTGCCCGGCCCCGCGGCGCCATCTCGTGGTGCGGGCCGAGGCGCCGCCGGGACCCGCAGCCGCCTCTGCGGGGACCGACGTGCCCCGTGGAGCCGCTTGCCCCGCACGGGAATGGCGCTGTGAGTTCACAGAATCAGGGGATCGCGGAATAAATTAGGCTGGAAAAAACCTCTGAGGTCATCAAGTCCAACCTATGACCGAACACCATCATATCAACGAGGCCAAGCGCCACGTCCCGTCTTTCCTTAAACACCGGCAGGGATCGTGATTCCACCACCTCCCCGGGCAGTCCATTCCAGCATCTAATAACTGTTTTTGTGAAGAAATCCTCCCCAATGTCCAACCTGAATGTCCCCTGGCACAGCTTAAGACTATGGCCTGTTGTCCTGTCATAGTTGCTTGGGAGGCCAACCCTCACCCGGCTACACTCTCCTTTCAGGCAGTTGTAGAGAGCAATAAGGTCATCCCCGAGCCTCCTTTTCTCCATACCAAACAACCCCAGCCCCTCAGCTGCTCTTCATAGGATTTGTGCTCCAGACCCTTCTACAGCTTCGTTGCCCTTCTCTGGACACGCTGTGACCTCCTGCTGCCCCTCATTACCCAACCCCTCATTGCCGCCTCTAGTCCCAGAGCATGTACAGTGCTTTACAACTCAAAACCTGAGTCTGCTGTGGTGGTGGTGGTGTGGCACTGTCATACTTCGCCCTTTGATTATTATTTGTTTCCCTCATTAATTTCTAAACTTTCTGTTCAGGTTCTGTACTGAGCTTGTATTTTCATAGGACTGTGTGTGAATAGCCCTTTGGGGACCTGTCTTGGCCACTGGAGCGGTGATTGTGTTTTCCCTCGTGTAGCATTTTATATTATCTCTGTTAAATTTGTCTGCTATTAGCACAGAATCATAGGATCATAGAATCATGCACTGGTTTGAGTTGAAAGAGACCTTTAAGATCATCTAGTTCTGAGCCCCCCTGCCATGGGCAGGGACACCTTTCGCTAGACCATGTTGCTCAGAGCCCCGTCCAACCTGGCCTTGAACACTTCTAGGGATGGGGCATTCACAGCTTTTCTGAGCAACCTGTTCCAGTGCCTCACCACACTCAGAGTAAAGAATTTTTTCCTAATATCTAATCTAAACCTACCCTGTCAGTTTGAAGCCATTCTCCTTTGTCGTGTCACTACATGGTCATGTAAATAGTCTTGCCCCATCTTTCCTATAAGTTCCCTTCAGGTACTGGAAACTGCAATTAGGTCACCCCTAAGCCTTCTCTTTTCCAGGCTGAACAAACCCAGCTCTCTCAGCCTTTCCTCACAGGTGCCATAATGTTATTGTGTGTTTCTTCATGGTCAATAAACCTCTCAGCTGTACTGTACTGAATAGCACAATACTCTCACCAGACCATGCCACCCCATCATCTGTGCCCTTCTCTAGGCAAGGGCTGTAACACATGAGCATGGCCTTTGGTTGGACTCAGTGAAGTGATTCTTATGTTACATATATATTAAAATGAAGGCATGAATTATTGCTGAACTGCTGTACTTTCTGTGGGAGAAAGGCATCAAGGCACACTGCACAAAGTCTTGGCACATATGTTGGTTTTATTAACGTTATCAGTCTCAAGCAAAGACTTCAAGTAACACTATGTAGATTTTGCAAATGGAATCATACTGTTCTTAGTTTTGTAATATTTCAGTTTAAAAGACTATTTTTTTAGGATAGTCTTACTTCTAAAATGCACATTCTCTTTGTTCACTGCTTCCTACTTATTCCCTTCTACCTGGCTTACTTAGGCATATTTGTGGTTGCACAGTTATTGTCTGGAACAACAAAAAAAGATATCTGTCTCACAAGATAGATAGATATATCTGTCTTACAAGATAGACATATAGATCACATTAAATAAATGTCTGATTATGTACATTTTTTGAACAGTTAGAACTTCCTGCCTGCTGAAGACAGATTTCTTTCTCTGTATTTCACCTGATCACTTTCACTTGATCCCTTCTAAATCTTTCAGTCCACAAAATATCTGCTGCTCCAAGAGCTGTGTTTTCCTTGAAACCCATGTGGATATTTAACAAGTTAAAGTCTGCCTTATTAGAGGACAAGAAGCAACCTGGAAGAAAAGTTTGCTTTTAAAGACAACACCCTTATGTAGGCCCTCACAAAACCCAAGAGTGGAGAAGGTCTCACATTAATTTTTGATTTGTAAATACTTTTCTTCTACACCCATGAAACATGAAAAAATGTAATCTGGGTCTGGAATGAAGTGAATACTCCTGCAATTTATTTCTAAAAGCTAATGCTGGTGAGGAGAATGTAGCTCCTATTGATTCCAACATGAGATCTTCTCTTGCATGTTGGGTGCCAGAGAAGGGGAGCATCACAGGGGAGTTTTGGTTTCATTGATCAGTTTTCTCAATGGTGTCCCATAATGCAGCATGTCCCTTTGTAATTACTTTCCATGACTGTGTTCCCTGCAGCTTTCAGTGTTGATCTAGTAGGCTGAAAATAAGGACATTATTTACTGGCAAATGTTTCCTGGCAAGAGAGTGAAATGTTAGACTAGACTAGCTATTAGAGTAGGAAAATTTCTTCATGAGAAGTAGCATTTGAAGTTGTGAAGACTGGACATCCTAGAATGCCTTGGTCAGCTATTCTGATTCACTAATTAACCAATTAATTTAATTAACAAATTCTTTAGGAGGCAATGAGTTTAATGACTGGAGTTTTGTAAAAAAATGTAGGAAGTTTAAATCAGCAACAGTCTTTACTGCTTATATAAGCTGAAAACAGCATTCTGGGCATCAGATCTGAAAGGGTGGAAGTTTCCAGAACAGGGGGCGATGACAGGAATTTGGAAAGTAGGCAGTAACCTATTTTTCTTGTATCACTGTTCAAGAAGTTTGCATCTGTTGCGCACAAAGGTACTTCTGCTAAACTTGAGAGAATTTCTAGGTTGACCATTATTCTGTAAAGATTGTGTTACCAAAGCGTTGCTCTACTGAGTTAAATATAATCCAAAATAAGTCACCTTTAGAACTGTGGTCTAGTTATTGATTGATCAAAGTGTTGCAGTTATTGACTCTGCTTGTCCTTTATTAAGACAAAATCATATTTTACATTATTTGTAGCAGATTTTCAACCACAGTGCAAATTCCATGTTTGGATTACAACAGGTCCTACTTAGGTCTAGCTCTTGTACAATTTGAATCTACAATTCATAAAATTTATGGGGGAGGGGGTGGGGAAGGGGTGTGGAAGGGAGGAAATGTGTGCATGTGTTTGTGTGCGGGAAACTACATGTGAGACTTCTCTTAATCACTTCTACCTTTCTGAGGGACAGGCTACTAGACGCTGAGTTGGGGGACAGATAGAAATATCTTAAAGACAATTTTACTGCCAAAGAAAATAAGAAGTGGAGATGGACTTCTACACCAAACGACATTACTCTTATTCGAAGTTAGATGTAGATAGATAGCATGTCTCTTCTGGAGCACCTGTGGCCTCATTGAACATGGATACAAGTTAATGAATTAAAAATCAGCAGCATCTCTGAAAACTTTCCCCACTGGGTAAGGGGATAGCATTTCTTTTGCTGTCTTTATGTGCTTACTTACCATCTGACAGTGATCACTACACCTGAGCTAGTCACTCTTCAGATACCATTATAGCCACGGGCAAAGCACAGTAATGCTTTTTGGGTGCTGTTCATCTGACATATGTTGGTTATCTACTTTGGGTAGAAATGAATCACACCCCAGAAGTGCTTTCTTCTTCCACTGATTTTCGAGGAAGCCTGAGGCAAGTCTCACAAGGTGCTTTTATTGCAGGTGTGTATGTTTAGCCAGATAAATCCTATCGAGAAAAACAATAGAAGTGCAAGAAGTTGCTGAGGAAAAATGGTAACACCGATTATAAGAGATAAAAGCCGACGGACGTCAATAGATGGCAGCATTGTAAATGGTAATGCAGAACCTTCCCGCCTAAAACAGCAATGCTGAGGGAGTCTAAACCAGTCGCTCTGGAGGAGTAAAAGAGCTGCCAAATAGCCCTGACTCGTGTACCTCTGGCTTGCTAAAATATGCTGTCTCCTCTCACCTTTCAGATGGCAAAAATTCTCCCTTTTTCTTGAAAGCTAGCAAAAGGATCTTGAACCACGCTGATTTTCAGAGTCTGAAAGGCAAAGGACAACTGAACACTCAGCTAATTCTTAAATATCCATTCCTGGACACTTAACACTGGAACACACGGTATAGAAGCTTACAATGATTTAGATTAGAAATTTATGAGGTAATTGTGTGCAGTATACACACCCAATAAAACATCACAATGATACATTTTCATCTTGTCTTTAAATTTCATTCTGTTGGTCTTTAGTAATTGAATTTATTTTATGTATCTTTGTTAATTTTGGCATTATTATACAGCAACAACATTTGAAATTTTTAATTAGAAAATACAGATATTTCTCTTATATAGAAGAAAATTGAATTGTCATTCAATTTGTCATCGATCATTTTTAATTGAGAAAACATTAATAGCATCAGATGTGCTTTAAATGCAGGCAGTCAGTAGGTAACATGTGAAGAGATTATGGTAAGATTGAAGACTGTAAAGACATCAGAATATGGGACCATATGATTCCTTTGATTCCTTTGCCCAAGGAGAGACTGTGTGCCTTGATCAGATCAGGTAAGAGTTGTGTAGTCAAATGGAAGTAACCACAGCAGCGAGTGATGGGACCAGGTCTCTTCCTAAATCCTCTGCTTGTTCTGTCTAGGCTGAGTAGCTTCCACTCCATCAGCAATTCTCCTGGCCTAAATGCTACTGCATACGAAGTAAGTGTCTGGTTGATATGAACTCCTCCCACCTGAACGTGGCCCCAAGAAAGTGTGTTGGATCAAACTGCATGTGGCTTAAACTGGCCCTGTGCCTGCCTTCATTATTGCATTTCTCCTTCAGTTTTTGTAATATTACTACTACTCAAAAG